GTCACACAGAATGGCCCCCCCAAAGATTGAACTCAAAACCCTGGGTTTAGCAGGCCATTGATTTCACGGAGGGAGGGGGAAGCAAATGAATACAGAACAAATCTGGTCCATTTATCTTTTACATCTTAGGCTGGCAGCAGATGGTGCAGCATGACTGATAGCCATCGGCATCTTCTGGGTGCTTGGCAGAAGATGCTGCATTACGACTGCTAGCCATCATCGTCAAGACAGTGCAATAGGACTGCCGGCAGGACTGAGTCTCCAGGAGACAAAACATGTCTGCCCAGGCACCTCTGACTGAACTTACTGAGGAGTACGACGACTACGGATAGCAGTCGTAATACACGATCTACTGCCAAAAGGCAAGGAGCTGCTACTGTATAGCAATGCAGTCCCACATCTGCCAGCACCCAGATAGCCGATGATGGCTACCAGTCATACTGCACCGTCTACTGCCAAAAGGCAATTAGCTGCTGCTGTGCACCCAGATGACATATGGTGAGGGTGAGCTGAGCTGAGCGGGGCGTGGTATGCTGTCTGCACAGGTAACCCAGGAAAAAAGGCACGAAACGATTGTCTGCCGTTGCTCTCACGAGGGGGGGGGGGGGCTGACAACATGTGCCCAGAATCCCCCGCGACACTGTTTTTGCCTCATCAGGCATTGGGATCTCAACCCAGAATTCCAATGAGCGGCGGAGACTGCAGGAACTGTGGGATAGCTACCCACAGTGCAACGCTCTGGAAGTCGACGCTAGCCTCGGTACTGTGGACACATTCTGCCGACTTAACGCACTTAGAGCATTTTATGTGGGGACACACACAATAGACTGTATAAAAACAATTTCTATAAAACCAGCTTCTATAAATTCAACCTAATTTCAAAGTGTAGACATATCCTTGGAGTACTTGTGGCAGTTCTGCCTGTTAAGGGCACTCAGGAAGGGTGCATTTAGTTTTCCCAGATTTCTAGGTGTCGATGTAAGCCAGTTTAGTTGTTTGTGAAGAAGGATCCTAAAAATATTGAACCCAACTCTTTTTTCTGCTATTATCCTCCTGGCAGAAATGTTGCATAAGGACTGTAGGCCTCAAAAAAGTACACATCACCACTTGTTTCTAATTTTTCATTATGCACATCTAACTTGTACCCAGGCGCAGAAGGTTTGTATAATTTTTGTTGGTGCCCAGAACAGGTCCAAATCCCACGCCCCCACAGACCTGCCTTGTAAGCTGATATATATTTTTTGAAATAATGTAAAAATGTGAGGGCTCTGGGTTTGGGCTGGGGATAAGGGGTTTGAGGTGTGGGAGGGACTCAGGCAGAGGGTTGGGGTGTGAGGGTGAGGGCTACGGGGCTGGGGATGAGGGGTTCACGGTGCAGGAGGGGGCTCAGGGTTGGGGTGGGGAGGGTGAGGGCTCTGGCTGGAGGTGTGGGCTCAGGGGTGGGGCGGGGCCAGGGCTGAGTAGTTTGGGGTGCAGGCAGGCTGCCCCCGGCTAGGGCCAGAGAGGACTCCCCCCGGCAGCACACTCACCTCACACCACTGTCACTGCACGTGCTCCTAGGGCCCCTCTCAGGGTCTAGGAAGCCCCCTCGCCTCCCCTGTGGTGGGGACAGGGTTGCCATCATATATGCGCCTCCTCCCTTGCTGCTCCCCCTCAATGTAGCCTCACTGGGTGTGGGGGATGGGGCTGCCCCTTGCCCAACGTGGGGCATGAGTGCTCACTGCGGGTGGGGGGGGAGGGCCCTGTGCAGGTGGAGGGTCCCGCTGGAAAAGGGAAGGGTCCATCTGTCCGAGGCGGAAGGGCTAGGTCAGCCTGCCCAAGCACTAGTGGGGAAGGGGGGCGTTAGGACCCTGCGGTGGCAGTTGATGCCGGGAGCTGGCAGAGCAGTGTGCAATGCGGAGCTGCAGGGGGCAGCCACCCGCTGCCCAGGGCGCAGGCAGGGACTCTCGGGGGTGGCAGGCTGGCCCAGGGGAGAGACTTGGCCCCGAACATTGGTGGAGCTGGGCCCCCGGGCTCTGAATATTGCTGGAGCACAGGCACCATGGGCCCATATAACTTGCCTACCCTGCTTCTACCCCTTCTCCACAAAAGCTCACACAAGACACAAAAGTAGAAAATTCATCTGGAGAAAGGCCTGTTTTGTCCTTCTCAGTGACACAGTACAGGCTTCATTTTGATTTCCCTTATACCTATGTAACTTCACCAATTTCAATGGGGGTATTCCTGGTTTATAACAGTGAGATCAGAATCAAGCCCTAGATACTGTTTTAGAGGGGAATCTACATTCTGTTCCCTCATGTCCTCCTACAGTCTCTTACCCTCCTCTCAAGCTTGTCATACTGCCTATTTAGTTTTCTTTTTGTACTCCCATTTCAGTGCCTTTTATGTCAACCTATTTGCCTGAAAGTCCCCTTCCCACACTAACCTATGAAAAATAGCTTAGACAGAGGAACAGTTCCGTATGAGTCAGAGATCATCTGAGCTGACAAGACAAACACATATGGAGGAGTTAAAAAAAAACCCCTTTCATCAGCCCATGATTATTGTTAGGATGCAACATATAATTGCTGAGAAATGTACAGCTACATAAACTGCTTTTCTCCTAGAGGAAATGGGCATGCAGACAACATGTATTTATTTTATTGTTGTTTAGGGATTTAATGTGTGAGATTCAAGTTAGTTTGTTTTTTAAATGCAGCTGGCGGCTATCCCTGAGCACACGTGACCCTGTGACTGTAAGAGGACTATAATTCCCACCAAAAAAGGATCTCAAAGTATTGTTTGTAGTTTCACGGACTTGTGAAAAAAGGAAGGGCATTTGTTTCAATGTTTGCAGAGGGCTCTTAATTACAGGCAAACCACTCAGGCAGATGTTAATGCCAGCCATCTCGGACTAACAGCTGAGCTGACAAAGCAACCATCAAATCTATTCCCATTATTTCTGTAAGGGGAACACCATATTTGGGTGTGTGGGTGGGTGATTCCATATCCCTTACATAGAATATTGGGAAAGAGAAAGGAAGAAAAGGGAAGTTTATATTCCAGTGTTTCTTTGTATGCCCTTTAGTTCTGAGTGCTTCAAGCCTTGAGAGATCCACAACACCTGGTGCAAATACTTTAAGGAAATATCTCACTGGAAAAACATCAGTTTACCTTCTTGGTACTTCCACCTCTTCAAACACAGGTACAATAACCAACATGTCTCTGAGCAATTTGGGGTATTCTTTTTCCCATCAGTTCATCTGGTTGATGTAAATTTCCCTATCTTGTGATTAGCATTTCTTTTAATTCATATTCTCTAAGTGCACATTCATTTTCAAATGAAAATCTTGTAATCAGTGCAACACTATTTCAAAGAGGAAATTGAAGGGGGAGGGTAAGCGGGAACTGCAAGACAGTGTGAACTTCCTGCTGTTTGTGATAAGTGCTCTGTAACCTTTAGAGAAAGGGAGAAAAAGGTGACTGTGTGCAGCTTGACTCTTGTCCAATTTATGGTTAACCTCTTCTTGACTTTCCTGGCACATTCAAGACAGGAGGGCATGGGCAGTGGGTGAACCAGCAGTTGGGGAAGGCTAGCTCTCTCCCCCTCTGCCCAAGGCCCCTCTCCTCCCCTTTTGCCCCCTCCCCTGATGGAGCCCAGAGTGGCAGAGCCCCACCAAAGCCGCTGGCCCCCTATCCCAGGCCAGCGCCCCCAGCCCCGGAGCACTGGGTAGGTGGCACCACCGCAGTAGCCCTGACCCCAGCCAGGCGGGCGGCGCCTCTGCAATGCCCCGACCGGCGCGCCAGGTGGGCACCAGCCCTAGCCTCCCCAAGTCCCGGCAGCAGGCCGTCCGACCCAAGCCCCAGCCTGGGCCACGAAAGAGCGGGAACTCACAGGCACTCCTGGGGGTGAAGTGTGGGCAGGGCACGCCAGGTTGTTTGGGGAGGCTCAGCCTCCTTCAGCTTATGATACCCGCAACCCATGCAGGAGGGACCTGATTCTCCACCCTTTTACCAAGGCTGACATCAGCATAATCCCATCCACTTCAATGGAGTTACACTGGTGTAAAACTGAAGTGAAAGAGTGGAGAATAATGCCCATATCTTTAATTGTGTCCAGTATTTCAGGTAACAATCCTGCACTACCAGGAGAATGAACTAGATGATCTATTCTAATAGACCTTTTTATTTGGCTATTCAGCATAAGTCCAGCTTCATTTTGACCTTTTCCCATTAAAATACCATGCTATTTCCTCCCATCCCCCAGCCAAAATAAGTGCTCTCTAGAGCAGCCCCAGTAGGAGTCTATTGGTGGTGAGAGTGTACAAGGAGCTCCTGTCCTCCAGGGCTCCTGAGCAGCACTTTCCAAGCACATTGTATCTGATAAGGGAGAAGGGGCCGGAGAGACCCTGAAGGCCAGAGGAGGCATGTGTGGATAATATTATTGTGGTTCACATGCGCACAGGAGAGGTGGGTGGGGAGTAGAGATTGTCTGAAAAATTCTGATGAAACCATATCCTGTCAGAACATGTGGTTCTGTTGAAATCAAAATGCTTTGCAAAATCAGCTTGAGTTTGCCAGAATTTGGTTTTAGAAAGAAAACCAGGGTGGGGAAGTTCCAACATTGTTGATATGTCCAATTTTGAAGTTTTTGGAATGAAGCATTTTGATTTTGTTTTGAAAGGACTTATTCTGTGTTATAATATAATGCAACATTTAAAAAAAGTCAAAATCAAAACAAGATGGGTGAGGTAAAATCTTTTATTGGATCAGCTTCTATTGGTGAGAGAGACAAGCTTTGGAGCCACACAGAACCCTTCTTCAGGTCTGGGAAAGGAACTCCCAGCATCACAGCAAAATGCAAAGTGGAACAGATGGTTTAGAATAAGTAGTAAGCACATATTGTAAGCTCTTTCGCTGGTGACTCGTAGAGGCTGCGGGCAAATCCCGGGCGGGAGCGACCCCCGACCATGGCCGAGGAAGGCATTGCTGCTGGAGGTGTAATGGATGTTAACCATTACAAGAAGTGCTGAAGACCGCACTCATCCACGATGGCTTAGCTCGTGGTATTCGTGAAGCTGCCAAAGCCTTGGACAAACGCCAAGCCCACCTTTGTGTTCTTGCTTTAAACTGCGACGAACCCATGTACGTAAAGTTGGTTGAAGCCCTTTGTGCAGAACACCAGATCGACTTGATAAAAGTTGATGACAACAAGAAACTGGGTGAGTGGGTAGGTCTCTGCAAAATCGACAGAGAAGGAAAACCCCGCAAAGTAGTGGGCTGCAGTTGTGTGGTTGTCAAAGACTATGGCAAGGAATCTCAGGCCAAAGATGTAATTGAAGAATACTTCAAGTGCAAGAAATGAATGAAACACATATTGTAAGGGATCATTCAAGGCACAGTGCGCTGTTAACACCTCTGCAGTCACAGAACAAAAAGGGCGGGTTTACAGACTATTGTAATGAGCCATAATCCAGTCTCTCTGTTCAGTCCATGATTTTTAGTGTTTAGCAGAGTTATGAATTTAGGTTTCTAGGCTCGTCTTTTGAAAGTGTTGTGCAGGTTTCCTTTGATGAGGAGGACTGATAGATCCGACAGAGTGATTGCTTTGAAAAAAGTGTTCACCCACAGGTGATAGGGTTTTTTTGTGTATCTTTTAGCATTTTCCTGTGTGAGTTCGAGAATGAGGGTTTTTTTGGTCTTTTAGCATTTTCCTGTGTGAGTTTGAGAGCATAGTGATTGTCTGGTTTCACCCACATAGTTGTTATTGGGGCATTTAGTGCACTGGATAGAGGTATTACCTCATTCACTTTGTCTCGCTTCCTGGGCCCAACACGGCTACAACTGCAGAACTTGCAGAACCACTGCTTGTAAACTCAAGGCTGAGCTAAATGGAGCTGCAAGAGAATGTGAAAAATGGCTGCTGATTCCCTGCTCAGTTAGAAGCAAAATACATCCCCCAGCTCCACATCACTCTTCATCTTCCAGTGGGGAATGTCCTGTGCTTGGAACAGATGTGAAAGATGGTGGTCATGTTTACTGCTCTGCAGCTGCAGTGAGCTCAGCCATGCACACATGTTTCTCTGTTACTAAACCATCTCCACACACCACAATTTGGCTGGTATTACTTGGCATTTTTCTCTGCTTCCCTAAGGCAGCTGAATTTGAGCTGCTGGCTTAAAGCACTTCTGAAAATTGACTGCTAGGTGTCTTAAGTTAAGAGCCAAAAACTAAGATGCTAAAAATCAGTTTTAAAAATGGAGGTGTGGAAGGTGATCAGGAACAGTCAGCATGGATTCACCAAGGGCAAGTCATGCCTGACAAACCTGATCGCCTTCTGTGATGACATAACTGGCTCTATGGATATGAGGAAAGCTGTGGATGTGATATACCTTGACTTAAGCAAAGCTTATGTTACGGTCTCCCACACTATTCTTGCCAGCAAGGACTTTACCCAGTCCTTAACCCCCCCCCCCCTCAGATCTACCCCATCCAGGCTGACGTTGAACCCTTTGCATAAGCTTCTCTATCCCCAAAAGTCCCCCAGTCTTGTTGCTATATAGCACCTTCAGAATCTCAGACACCAATCCTCTTGGGACCGCTAGTTGAGCGTAATGGCCCACGTTCTCCACTGCCTTTGAGTGCTTAACCAGAAGCCCTTGCTCTAGGTGCAAGTCAGGCCAGGCTTCTCTGTATTGGTGTATACCTGGGTCTGCCTGTACCTCTTCTGGCAGATCTGACAGTCTTTCTTCCTTCCAGTGTTAACTGTTCCTTGTCCTTTCTATCCCAAGACCAGCCAATCCACTCCCAGGAAATGGAAGCAACCACCCTGATTCAAGTACAGCCGCTTGGCATTTAACACTTCCATTTTATTCTGACCATCAAGCTGTAAACAGAGTGAACTCTCTCCTGCGTTTGATATGGCCACCAAAAAAGAAGTAGTCTTTTGCAAAACACACTGAGATCTGATCAAGGGTCTATAACAATACGCCTATGTTCTTAAGTCTAAATTAAATTAGTGTAAGTTATTTAAAATGTGACATATTTCAAACCTCCCCACATATAAAATATATTCCTTCAGGGAGTCATCAAGTAAATGCTGCCTTTATTTTCTTGGCACATCTTGTTCTTTTATTAGTGACAAGGCTGCATGGTCATATGATCACAAAGTTCTGTTTATAATATTAATAAAAGAAATATATTAGGCTAAAATTGTACCCAGGCCTACAAGATATGTTCTATCCAGGATGCAAGATGTGTGCTGAGTCCTTCCTGCGAGTTGCTGAGCATCTTTAACTCTCACAAAAACAAAAGACAGGGAGTTGAGGGTGCTCAGTACCTTGCCTGATTAGGCTGCTACGCCTTTGAAAGATTACATACACTGTAGGTAGCAGCAATAATATATTGATATTACTCAAATCTAAAGACCCAGTTCAAAAATGCCAGGCATATTATTGCACAAGTATTTTAATATCTACACAAACAACCAGAGCACTGGGAGCCAAATTTGCATTTCACAGCTAAAAATCAATGTCTCTCTGCACAGATATGAGAACACATCAGAATAACAATGAGATACTTTGGCATATTCATACATTTTTAAAACATTACGTAAAACCTCCCTTGCTTTTTCAGGTGAAATCTTGTAGAGCCAGCTCTCCATTTATGCTGGTTAAGTCTGTCACATATCTCCTATAAATCTCTCTACTAATTACAAAGCTGCACTGAGTGAGGATTTTAACATTTATTATTTAATTTAATATTTCAATGTAATTACTAATGCAGATCCCCAATGCAGCTGACTGATCTGCAAGCTGCATCTGCACCTGGGTGGAACTACATTGACTTTGGATGGGTCTCTGCTCGCATGGATCAGCTTGCAGGATCAGGGCCTTAATTATTGCCACAGTGCATTGTAGTAACTAAGGCCTCAAAATTATGGGTTATGACTATTTTAAGAATTGCCCAGGTATCAAGACCCTTTGGAAAATATAGAACAGAGCACTGAGAGAATAAAAAATTAAAGTCTCACAGCCAGATTCCTTCAATAAGTCTGAGGAAACTCAGAGTTTATTGCGGTCTTTTGCAAGAGTGTACTGCTGGTGCTTCTAAAGAGACTTCCTGTTTTTACCTCTCTTGGAATGAATGAATTAAAAATCATATTACATTAATATCTAACATTGATATTAGATGTGCCAGAATCTTAGTAAAATGGGAATCAATATTAATTAAAATGTGTATAAAAGGGAAGTCAACTATAAGTGATATAGCTTTGGACAATATATTGTAAACTTTAATGACAGGGTTTATCTCATGGGCAATCCTGGTGAGAGGGTGGTAAAGAAGACTTTATTTTTGATAAAGTGAAGAAGTATGGCTAATGTTTGCAATCAAGCATTCTTATGCTATCAATTTAGTAAAATATGTCTGTTGAAAGAGGCAGTAAATAAAAAGAACTGAAACTAAATAGTGTATTTATAAGGACACTTGACCACAGAGTGGAATAAACAGAAATGTAACTGGTTAATAATGACTGGACTCAGCTCAGCTTACATACCAAGGTCTTACCAGTATTGTTAAAACAAGGAGAACACAAATGGAAAATTTATATAGCTGTTTGGGCTTGCTGCAGAACAGTTCTTGAGGTGACTTTGCATTATATAATGGACTGTTAAAGCAAGTTGAAAGAGCATCAAAGAATTTGGAGGGACTTTGTATCAATTATATGAACTTTAAACTGGACATTTTGAAAGCTAGCAGGGTTGATGGAGACACTGCAACTTGAGCAAGCACACAGAGCCCACAGAAAGTGATTTTCAGAGGTAAATTGCTGACCAGAGCAAACCAGCCTGTGTTCAAGGTATGTCCCAAGATGGTTGTACCAACAGTTATGGCCTAACTTGTCCTACACAGGCTGGTGTGTTACATAAAGAGACTGGAAATTTTCAATCCCAGTTGCAAAAATGCAAAAGTTGATATCTTGTTTTCTGTTGGGATGGTGAGAGAGGACTATTTTCATTTTGGTTGGACATTTCAAATCTTTGGAAGAAGCATGGGTCACCATCTGATTGTTCCCTGCTAGGACATCCAAGAAGAGGAACCAAGTTGGATCACTCAGCAGAAACAGGGTAAAAAAGCCTGTCTGCTTCAGCACATTGCTTCCCAAAAGTCTGAAACACCTGGAAGGGAGAAGACTGAGGTCCTTGACCATCCACCTGGGAGTCCTCCTGGTGACATCAAGTACCCATCTTGGGTAGGCACCTTTAACTGCCTTTCTGTTTTCTAGCACTGGGTTGGCTGCTAGTGCACTAAGAAAAGACTTGTCTGTCCTTCACTCCATTTGTAACCAATAACTGAGCTGAACGCTGATGGCTGAGCAAAGATCTGGTGATAAGTAACACAAAGACTTTCCCTTGGGTGATAATACAAATCTGTCAATTGACCACTTCCTGAAACTGGGTACTTAATTAGTAGGGAAGTATAATTCTTGTGTATGTTGACACAGAAGTGTCTTTTTTCTGTAACAGATTCCAATCAAGATTGTTGTAAGGTAGCTTTAAAACTGAACAAGTTACCGTTGTTAACTAAGATTGTAGAATGCTGTACTTGTGTCTACCATCGTTTATGGTTTTATACTGCCTTTCAAGTTCTAGATGATATAGACATAAAATGAGACCAAGTATACAAGCGTTTTGAACTGCACTCAGTCTGTCATAACTGTAAGAGTTCACATTAGATAGTTAGGAGTGTCAGTCAGATCCTGGGGCTATCTCTTTCACAGGCAAATAGATTAAAAGGGTTGACTACTATACATCTATTGGGTAGGAGACCTTAGTGAATTGGCATGTAAATAATTGACCAAAATAGTTTTGTGATCTATCTTTGGATTGTTTTCATCCGTTGTGTTAGCAACACCAGAATTGATAACCAACTGACACAAGTAAGGCCCTATTCTGAGGGACTCAGTCAAAAATCTAAACAGAATCACCTTCCAAGGTAATTATTGAGTGTGTTATTTTCTTTTGTTATATAATTAGATTCTGAAAACCAAATGGTTCTATCAACCAACTTTTTAATTCATGTAGCCAAATCTTAGTCCAATATGGTTTTTGCCTTTTTATATTCTATACTGTTATTTGCTATTAAGGATATTTAATAAACTCCATCAAACTAATTTCAACTCTGGTGTTCCAAGCAATTGAAATTAAAAAGCCCTAAAATAGATTATCAGCTAAAGCAGTTGCTTTAACGTTTGTTTTATACCTTATCTGTCTTATAGTATGCCAAGTATAGTTATCCATATGTGTGTGTGGGGAGCATAGCTTGTGTGGGTATATATACAGTAACTCCTTACTTAAAGTCATCCCGGTT